AAGATTTGAGAGTTACCTTGTGGAAAGGATTTGATGAGGATGGATGAAATAGGTTTTGAATTGTTACCTATTTTGTGCACTTTTGATTTGGCTAAGGGATGATTACCTGCTACTCGCGCATAGGAATTCCGATGTGCCTCAAGGGTATTCTTGTCCTTTTAATCCAAAGATCAACATGTCACATTGTGATTATTTTTGGCTCCACAACATTTGCATTCAGTATCATGAAACCTGCGAAAAAAGTGATCGGGTAACGAAGTAAGACATTTATTGAGGACATCGTTATGCATGTTTGTAATAGAGACTACATGCGTATAGCATAATGTCAAGCTCAATTTAGCAACTGGTTTTACTATAACTAAAAGGATGTGACAACTGCACAAAAATGTTGACAACGAACATCGAGTGATATTAAAGCGCACATGGCCAGACGCGGATCCATGCACAGGTTAATCTGGAAAAGTTAGCTTAGGTGACTTGGAAATTCTGGGATTGTTATTTAGGTAAAACTCCTTCAGCAAATCTCTCTGGGTTTAATTCATCAATGTTTTCACCTCAATATATTGGACAATAGTGAAGAAACATAGTCAGCAGCACAAATTCAAACACCAGCTGGGATATTGGAAATGCGTCCAGCCTCCTACATTGGTTTTGTTTTGGGTGTGCCTCTATGGAGCGGATATAACCTTCGAACTTCCTTTAATATAATCGACACTTGCACACAACAAAAAATCCGGTTAATGAATTGCGTTTAAATTGATGTTCATATTCACTTATCACATTGTTAACCACATGTGTGTAATATTAAAGGTGAAGAATTGTTTTTTGTTATGATAAATAATTGTGGTACATGTAACATTAAGCAGGAAGCGACTTACAATCTTGATGTAATTTAGGGCATCTAAATCAGGTGTGTTCTTTCCACACAGACGTAGGACTTCTTCTCTTGCTTTTTCTTGCCAACTTGGATGAGCTTGAGGGGGAATATTATAGTGTAGAGGATAATATTATTAAATTGTTGCCATGTGTCAATATATAGAATAGCCATGTGTCACAAGTGTATTAACGACTCTTAGGTTAGTTATCTGTGGTTGTATTTATATAAACAAATCTTGTAATAATTGTTGATATAATGAAAGTACAGTTTTCCCTCTCTACTTTCTCTCTCTTCGAACTCTCTTAGTTTCCATTTCTGCAACCATAGCTCAATCTTACTGTTATCAATCCTCAATTATCATGCTATTTTGATCTTGTTCATTACATTGTAATAGTAAACTGAGCAAATAATTTGCACCCACTTCACCATTTCCATGGCTGCTTGCTCTTTTCTGCTGATCATACCCCTTAATATTGCTTTGATTTCGTTGTCCAAGTTGTACCTCATCCTGTTCTTTTTAGTGGGTATGAATCTGCACCGAGAGAGAAAACTAACTTGGGCTGACAAATGTTCATGAAATTTAAACTCAAGACATGGTTTAACAAAGCGAAAACCGAATGCCACTAGCCCAAGTAGTAATGTGCAAATAAAAACTACATAATAAAGTATTGTTAGTTTTAATAAGCGCGTAGCAGTATACCTTTCGCCTGGGAAAGTCCTAAAACAGCTTGCTTTTTTGCAGCTCAAATATTTTCTTCTCTTCGTAGTTGCTTCCATAGGCTGTTCCGGCTATAACATCACCGGCAAGGTTTTGAAATTCAGGAGCTACATCTAGTTCACATTTTCCTTCATGTCCGACTAAACTTTCCCATCGATTAATCAGACCAGACAACTGGTTACAAATGCAGGCACCATCCCCTGTAAGTTTTATTTTTTTATTTTAACCAGAAACCAGAAAGTAGGAAGTTATTCGATTAATTAGTGTAAAGCTATAACCGAAGAAAGTTGAGGTTTTATTGTAAATTTAATTGATAATTTTTTAGTCTCTCTTCCAGTGTGCTTTATCTTTAGTTATTAGATTAAATAAATTAAATAATAAGAGAAAATAGAGTGTCTTTATCATTTTCTTATTTTTTTTAACGAAATTTTGAACGTTACGGACAGGTTAAGCTCACACTCATCCAATTGGGTTCAATTTTGGTAACAAATTGGAACCAACTTGGGGGAGACCCAAGGAGCAGCTTGAAGGGGAGTCTGGCAGGGACAATGATTGTCTGCCTTCCTACTTCCGGTACCCTCTCGTGCCCTCTTATTTTATGTGATTACGGTTAAACCACGTCAACATTTTATATTGTTTTTTTATAGAGATAATTAGACAAAAATGAATAGTAATATAAAATATTAACTTTACTTAACTGTGACCACACAAATAAAAAAATACGAAAAAATACCAAAAGTGAAAGGACAGACAATCTTTGTCCGTCTGGCAGAGCCCATACCCAACTTTTTCAGTCGAAGTTTTGGGGTCAGCATCCATATTTAGAACCCAACTGAACTATAGACAAAATTACAGGAGTAACATTGAGATTTGTGGTCCTGCTCACCTCACCATTTTGTTTATCAAATTTTATTCACAATATAAATTTGGATACAGCATTAACACGCACTCGTGACGAATTATATTATCAGAGCCAATTGAGCGACACATTTGACAAGGTTTAATTTATTAAAATCTTAAAAAATGACATAATATGACGTGATAAAGTTTAATTTATCAAAATCTTTCCTCATTCGGGTTTGTACCATACAGTTATTGGAAAAATTATTTCAATTTCACATTTTGATTTCGAATGTTATTAACAACTTCATTATTGAATGAGTTTTGTACAATAGGACTCGTTTGAGAGCGATTATGGGCAAACCAAAATCACTTGTAGAGTATCTAGTACAAAAATTAGGCTCCGCATGAGAATTAATCAATTAAAAGTGAGTTCTTTCGATACCAAATCAATACAACAACAACAACAGTAAAGTCTTTTCCCACTAAATGGGGTCAGCTATATGAATCCTAGAACGCCATTGCGCTCAGTTATGTGTCACATTTTCCGTTAGTTCCAAGTACTCAAAATCTTTTCTTAGAGTCTCTTCCAAAATCTTCCTAGGTCTTCCTCTACCCCTTAGGCCTTGAACCTCTGTTCTGTAATCGCATCTTCTAACCGGAGTGTCAGTAGGCCTTCATTTCACGTGTCCAAACCACCGTAACCGATTTTCTCTCATATTTCCTTCAATTTCGGCTACTCCTACTTTATCTCGGATATCCTCATTCCTGATCTTATCCTTTCTCGTGTGCCTACATATCCAACGAAGCATTCTCATCTTCGCTACACCTATTTTATGTACGTGTTGATGCTTCACTGTCCAACATTCCGTACCATAAAGCATGGATGTCCTATAAAATTTTCTCTTGAGCTTCAGTAGCATACAACGGTCACACAACATGCAGGATGCACTCTTCCACTTCATCCATTCAGCTTGTATTCTATGGTTGATGTCTCAATCCAACTCTCTGTTCTTTTGCAAGATAGATCCTAGGTAGCGAAATCGGTCGCTCTTTGGTACTTCCTGGTCTCCAACCCTCACCCCTAACTCATTTGAGCCTTCGTTTGCACTGAACTTGCATTCCATATACTCTGTCTTTGATCGACTTAAGCGAAGACCTTTAGATTCCAATACTTTTCTCCAAATGTTAAGTTTCGCATTTACTCATTTCTGAGTTTCATCTATCAAGTCACTAATGTATAAAATCAGTTCTACAAAAAGAAGCCATCTAAATGAGGTGAAAGATTTTCTTCATACATGTATACTACCTTCACGACATCATATGTTAATCATGAGAAATTTTTCAATGTGTCGGAAAAACGGCCAAATTCACTAAATATCATAATACAATCGATGAATTTCTTTTTTTTTTTGAAGTTTCAAACTAATTGTTAATCATATTTATATGTCATATATAATTCAAGTAGCACGAAAATAATACGATAATAGTATAATCGTGTCATGACTAAACGAGAGCCGACTATTGTTGCTGAGATTTTGACACTCACTTTTTGACACTGCAAATGGACCATGAGAGAGAGTTGTATGGTTGGCGTCTACCAGTAATCCTACAATTGTCAAACTGACATTTGCAAACTTTGAATATTGGCAGTTGGATGGGATATGAAATCGCGACTGGTCATTGTAAATGGAGATTTGGGGATTCCGTGATTATATTCATTCATCGTACATCGTCCGATCAATTTTCTTTAGGTACTATTTATATTTAATGTTAAAATTTAAAATTTAAATGATTTCTAATTGCATAATATACGATGAATGGATATGATTACGAGATCTCCAGCAAAAGGATCTGACGAGGATCCCTTTCCATTAGAATTAAGGGAACTTTAACGAAAAACCATATTTTTTACACTAAAAAGTCAATCTTGATACTATTTATTTTACCTTTTATTTTGTTGTTATCATTAAAACTCAAAGTTTTCAAAATATTTTCATTAGTTTTCCTTATAATTAATCTTGAGAGACAAGTCGACAGCATGGCCAATGTACTCTCCTATTCACGTGCCACATACATCGTATGCTTCCAAAAGGACGTCACTCTCTCTTTCATGTTGGACGACGACATAATATTCAGATTCTGATGCGTGTCACTGTGGGCCCCCATGAGATTGCCTACGAGTCCGTTCCTTTTCAGCTCTTTACTACCATCGCACGTGTCACTTCGTGACTATGTCGCCCATCAAGGAGTACAAGGAGCAAATTCCCTCGAGAGAACATTTCTTGATTTTTATTTTATTGAGTTATAAAAAAATTTCGAAACACAATTGGTTGAAGATAATTGCTCTATTCAAAGATAGTGCCATAACACATACGGACTCAACAGTAAACGATGAGCGCAACGTTTACTGTCGTCAGAAATAACACTTTGTGCAAGTCGAACGTGTGTTGAAGAAACTAAACCAAAGAATTCTTTCATCACATTGTTAACAAAAACATTGACAATGTTGTTAGTTTCTTTCCTATTTATATTAATATATATATAAAGCAAATCAAAATAGCTATTTTGTTCAAACAACCCAAAAGAACATTGTCAAATTCTAAAACAAATATTTCAAAAAAAGAAACAAAGAACGATAATATGACTAGACGAACTCTGGGAGCTCCAAATCCTTATCCTTCCCTACTCTCACTCTCTGAAACTTTCAGTCTGTTATGCGTTTGAAAGTTGAACCTTTCAAAAGATCTTTCTGTTAAGATTTGTTTTTCCAATAAGAAGAAGAAGAACCCTACTTTCCCCTGCTTCAAATATTTCAAATTTACAGTGACAAAAACATTTTTTTTTCTGTTTTCGATTTGGAGAAAAAAAGATATGCAGTCGAATTTTGAAACAGCAGAGATTGGTAATCAACAGTTCATGGATTCTAGCTCATCAGTTTTACCAATCTTCAGTCCTCAGAAGCAAAACCAGAACCATTTCCTTCAACAGTTTCATCAGCAGCAGCCGTTTAGTCATGTCAGTCAAATAGCTCAACCGATTCCGATTACCCACGACCTGTTTCAACGACAGAATCATCTCCAGTTCCAAGCATTGCTGCAGCAGCAGCAGCAAGAACAGCAGGAAGAAAGCAGGCTGCCATGGCAGCCGAGCCCTCTAAGTTTCAAGCTTGGTCTCAGTGAAAACAGTGGACCACATAACTTAGGATTCAAAAATTGGCAAACCCAAGAATATTATGGGATTATAAGAGAACCCATGTGGTAATTTTTGTTGATATTGCAGAAATTTACGTGCTTATTTGTTGTACTTGTTCTGTGCTCTCTCTGTTTTTCATGCTGACCTTGTTTTTACCCCCCATGTGTTTGTGTTAATGCAGCAGTTGGAAGCCTCTTGCCGCGGTAGTCCCCGACACAACAAACAACAGGCAGAGGCAGGAAGAAGGGGAGAGATGCAGGGACTTGGAGGAAAAACACAGGCTTTATGGTGAGCTTGAAGCAATCTATAACCTTACAAAGATGGGGGAGGGTAATCAGAATCAAACTGGCTCTGGCTCTGCTCTCACCGGCGAAAACTGCCTGAAAAATGTGGGATTTCCTGTGGTTTTTGGTGATTCTAATGGCCTCAATGTTGCTCCAGCTGATACATTTAGGGCAGATAACAGATCGGAAGACTCCATTGGAGAAGAGGTGTTGGTGAGGAAGATTCGGAAGAGGAAGAGGAAAATGAAGGAGCAATTAAGTTCAATGACTAGGTTTTTTGAGAACTTGGTGAAGCAGGTTGTGGATCACCAAGAGAATCTTCATAAGAAGTATTTGGAAGTGATTGAAAAAATGGACAAAGAGAGAAGGGAGAGAGAAGAAGCATGGAGATGTCAAGCGGAGGAGAACCATAAGAGAGAAGCCATGGGCAAACTCCATGAGCAGGCTATAGCTTCAAGCAGAGAAGCTCTCATTGTTTCATACATTGAGAAAATCACTGGCCAAAGAGTCAACCTTCCTCCTAGGGAAATCCCATTGTTGTTGCAGCCCGATAATTCAAGCGAACCTGAAACCGCAGAGGAATTGACACCCTCCAAACCTGATAACGCAAATAGCAGATGGCCTCAAAATGAAGTCGAGGCTTTGATTCTAGTGCGCAGTAGTGTAGAGTCGAAATTTGCAGAACTGGGGTCAAAAGGGCATGTTTGGGAAGAGGTGAGTGCTTTAATGGCTTCAATGGGCTATCAGAAAAGTGCCAGAAGGTGCAAGCAAAAGTGGGAGAACATCAACAAGTACTTTAGGAAAACCAAAGACGCTGCGAAAAAGCGTCCTCTGAAGTCGAAAACTTGTTCTTATTTTAGTCAATTGGGTCAGCTGTACTCAAAAACACCGACCGTCCCTTCATCGTCGTCTTCGGTTAGCATGGATGTTAGCATTCAAAGGCAAGGATGTTCGGAGCTTTTAGAAGCCTTTATTGCAGGAAGAGAGACGGGAGTTGCACATAATCTGCCAAATGGGAATTTTGAAATCTCCGAAAAGGGTTCGAGTAGGTTGGATTTCAATGGCATTGGTGATGGTAAAGTAGAACATGTGCAAGGAGACTCTGGGAAGGAGAAGGAAAACGATGAGGATGATGAAAACATGGATGAAAGAGAAGAGATGGATGGTGATGATTCTGACGAATAAGGTAGAGCATAGCCATCGGACAAAACTAGGAAGGTACGCCACTTAATCATAGCCTGTAGTTCTTTTGTTAACCTAGGAATTTTGATGTGTTTTTGGCTATTTGCTTGAGTCTCAAGCATTTTTTTAGTAGTGTTTGTTGCTGACAGAGTTTGAAGTTGAATTAAATTTTCCTTTTTGGATATAACATATTGATTAATATTGGAAAATGTTGGTTATGTCTACTTACGCATCGAACTAGTAATTCGTATTCATGTATATATTACTCATTTTCTCTTTAATTAGGTCATAGGTGCAATGAAAATGACAAGTAACCACAACGATCATTCTGTTTACAAAATCGGTAAATAATAAAAGGAGCGTTCCATTTACGGCAAAACCCAAAAGACCTATCCTGTAAGCTATCTCCCGGAAAAAGGACGTATGGTTTAGAAACTAAACCAAGAAAGCCTAGGAAATGTTGCCCTTTGTACCACCAAACACAAATGATATTTGCCATATATGGAAATATTGGATGAAGGATGCATGATAAGCAAATATACTAGGCCATTTTAGTTGATATCGACACTCAAAGGAAAAGAATCAAGTACCCAAAGAAACTTCAGGGCAGATAAAAGTCGTAAGCTTCCCAATCATTTAGCAACTCCTCCAAATGCAAAGGAGCTTCAGTGGTTGGGGTTGACATTAATGACCCATTTCTACAGTTATTTGTGCAATCAACAATCTTCATATTCAGTTCACAAAGCTTTGTGAAGTCGGTATGGAGAAACTCAGATATGCTAAGTTGCCCTTCATTGAGATCCGTTATGAAGTTCCGTGGCATATCACTGTCACTAGTGTTAGGTAAGAATCCATCATGGCAATCTGGTTCTGCTTCTGTATTCTTTTCTTCAATTCCATTGTTTGTTGGTCTGCGTTCTTCTTTGGTAAAATGTGAATCGGTCTCGACTGATGACGCAGCTTCTGTAGCCAAGTCTTCAATGGTTTTCCTCTCATTTCTAGACCTTTCTGATTGGTTTTCTTTTGCCTTCTTCCTTAAGATAGAGTTCCAGTAGTTCTTGATCTCATTGTCTGTACGACCTGGAAGCCTTCCAGCTATCAATGACCATCTACATGTGCCGAGAACTATGAAACACCCATAACTAGGACATACTACTTAACGAAGCTTACAAGGTTTACGTAACAATAAGTACCTGTTGCCTAATAGTTTGTGGAGTCTGATGATCAATTCTTCTTCTTCTTGTGTAATGTTGCCTCTCTTGATATCAGGCCTCAGATAATTCAACCATCTAAGCCTACAACTCTTCCCACATCTCTTCAGACCTGCACCGAATATGCATATTTCATAAACATTCATGCGTTGTAACTAAGAAGCTCGTACGTAGAATTGAAGCCAACTCACCTGTTTCCCTCGATAGTTTCTCCCATCTCCCTTCGCCGTGCTCTCTGACATAATCAAGCAGAATTTGGTCTTCAGCATCAGTCCAAAATCCTCTGCGCAGTCCATCCTTCTCACAACGGGAGCTTCTTCCCATTTGTCACTCACTTGATTCTGTCTCTCTCCTTTTCTTTCAGAACTGCACTTTATCGCGCCATTGTCTTTGGAAGTGAACGATTTTATATACTAGGTTCTGTTGTTTAGTCCAATAATACTATAAGAAGACATAGAAATCTGTTGGTTTGTTGTTTAATCTAATATTAATATAAGAAGACTTTGAAATATGTTGGTTTAGTTGTTTAATCCAATATTATTATATGAAGACTTAAAAATCTGTGAATAATTTGTTAATCAACTTTTTAACAACGTGGTTAGGATCAAAATTGAAGAATTGAACCGACAGAAAAAATGGTATCAGATTTTTGAGTTTTCGTTTGTGAAACAATGTGTTAAATCCAACGGTTAAAAAGAAAACAGGGAAATGTATGAGGTCAAAGGGGAGGTGCAAAAATCACTCATGTATTAACTTGTGATGAGTGGATGAACATGAATGACTTTTTAATGCTAAAAGTACCGAGCAGTGTTTGTTTGTGTCCAAATTTTCTTCTAGGCCGCCCGCTCCGACCGAAAAGAGAGAAGCAGTGATCAATTACAAAACTATTGATATGGTGGTGGTTTTTCAGTTGGAGTGATGTGTTGCCTAGGTTATGACAGGTACGGATTTTGCTTAATTAATCACTAGTTAATGATATCATAGAACTTGGTTGTATTGTTAATTACCTTATTTAGTTGTCACTTGGACCCGCAATGCCACTTTATGAAGCTACAAAACAAATTAGGGCCGGCTAGATTTTGATTCTCGGGTCCTCCACTGGGGGGAATATTGCAGATGAAATGTAATTGGAACTTAGAAGGCAGGTAGGGAATCAGCATATTATATCTGGGTAGTTGCATGATTAACAACTATAATTAGCATTGAATCTGATTTATGTTGGTTTAACAGTTAGGTTAAATTGCACCGGAAGTCCTTGTACTCGGATTTTCACTTTCGTCTTTGTATTTCTTTTTCGTTGCATTTGAGTTTTGTTTTCATTTTCCGTCCAATTCGTCAACTAAGTTGATTTCCACATCTAGAGGCGGATGGACATTCAAATCAAAGTGATCCCAAGACTATGCGGAGTCCAACAAATATACATGTGAGGTTTTTTGAGGAATTTCCAAATGTTTGGTGTGAGTTTCTTTTGTGTCTATCAAATGTTTGATGTAAAGCTTGCTAGGCGTATCTCGAAAGTTGCATCGACAACACTCAGACAAATTCTCTCTGTATCACTCATCATATTGTTTTGGCATGTGTCGGTATCTGTTGACATGTGTATACCATGTTTGACGAAATGCCTCCATGAACAAATTGATTTTTTTGCGTGTGTTTTATTTCTATCTTAAAACTTGTATTTAACATTGTGACCCACTAACATTTTCACGCAATCAATCTTCTCACTTGGACAACCCTGGAAGTTTGTTGTATTTGATGACCGGTGTAACGCTCCTAACTTAAAAAACATAAAAATAATAAAAACGACTAGGACGAAAGTGTAACAAAATAAATTAATGGGACGAAAGTAAAAATCAGGGTGACATACACAGACCTTTTGTAATTCAGACGAACAATTATGCAGCTGAAAGCCTGGAACCAAAACAATTTGTTTTTAATTTTACTGTGTCAAACGGTGAAACATATGGCTAGAAAACAATGAAAGTTGGTCGGCTTTGTGGTTGAGATGAAAGGGCTTTATTCCCTACTTGCAAACGAGCACAAATTTCCAAATAGTTTTGTTCTTGCTCTGAGACTGTGAGGACCCCGATTTAGTGTGTGTTTTAGATCCAAATCCAGCACAATTTTTATTTGTTTCTTGTTGCATTTGTTTCAGAAAACCGAGGTTTGGGTTATTAGTTTATTGGATGATTGATACCTCACTTGTCTTGGTATTAGATTAGTTGGAATAATCATTATCTTTTTATGGTAAGTTTGATGTTTACAATTATCGTTATTTATAGAGAGTGAGAATATCTCTAATGGAAAAATATATAAATGTTTTCATTTACATATTTCTACGAAGATGAATAATCTACATTCCTTTATTGGGAAATTATAAAGAAAAGATGTGAAATGCCCTATTTTTCATATTATACAAGAGATGCCTAAGTTTAAGCTTAAAGAACGAGAATGTAAAGGCAACGCCTACTCAGCTAGCTTAATCCACGTCTACAAAACTTAAATAGATGGTAGGGCTAAGATTTTTGGCCCGAAATCCGGATCCCTACCCGATTACCCCCGAACCGAACAAACCTGAAAAGAAAAATATATTTTTTATATGTTACAAAACAAAGGAGACATTGGATGAGGGAGAGATTGATCTCAACCGTTCATGTATCCCCAAACACAATTACTCTCTCTCCTCTCTTACTCGAATAAACTCAAACATAGAGGACAAGTCCTCAGTTTCTCGACTTGATCTCTCGCTCTCTCTAACTCTCACTTGCTAATGCTAGTGACGACAACAAGGGTTTCATTGAAACCAAGAACGATACGATTATATTCGTAGTTATTGTGAATGCAAATTTCTTCCTCCTTGTTCTTGGACAAAATTACATATATAAAATAAATTACACCTTAGGTCAAGGCCAAAAGCCTCATGCACCCACGATGAATGAAGGGACTTTAGCTGAATAACTTCCGATGCCAAAGTTAGAATTTAAAGAGAAAAGTATTTGGAAAGTTTTTGAGAGTTTCGCAAGAGTGTGGAAATAGGTTTTTGGAGAAAAATTGGTAGTATTTATAGGGCATGGCCGGTCCCCTTTGGAGAAAAGGTGGCTGGCCCTTTGGTGTATTTTTTGTGTGTAATGGGTGATTAATTGGTATAATGGGTGATTAATGGGTTAATTAGGAATTAACCCATTAATTAGCCTAATTAATTTAATTTATAAGTAAGGTTTTGAAGGTTATGGAATAATTTCCTTGTAGAGGATATGGAGTAAAGATGCATGAGATAAATTTGAACTTGTTGCCTATTTTGGGCACTCTTGACTCGGATGATGGATGATTCTCCACTGCTTGCGTGTAGGAAACCCGACGTGTCTCGAGGATAATTTTGTCCTCTTCACTAGAAATCCACATGTCGTCTCTTAATTATTTTTGGCTCCACTGTTATAAAACACAGTCAGACTGAAGAGTGGCCATGTTACTTCGATTTTGGCTAAATAGCATGAATTTATACTACGCTTGGCAAAACGAGAAGTTGTTTTCAATTATCAATTAGAATGTGAATCACATTGCTTCATCTCAACAAGACTAACATGCAAATATTTGTACTACGTTTGACACTTTTTGCTATGGATGATTTGTTTACACGTTGATTAACATAAAAGAATAACTACTTTGAAAGCATGATTAACCAAAATTTGTACTACCTTTGACATTTTTTGTTATGAATCGATTTGTTCATAAAATATGCATTTTATGAAGCTTTCAAAATTCAAAATGTTTAATTTGATCAGTAATGTATTAATCAAGATTTTTAAAATTATTCCTCTTATGAATCGATTTGTTTAGAAAATACCGAGTGTTGTCTAAGATTTAAAAAAAAAAAAAAAAAAAACAAAACAAAACAAAAAACCTATTTTTGTGTCCTTGAATCCGTGTTATTGTGTTGCCAAGAATGAATAACAAATTTATCCTGGATGTGACATCGTCATATTGATAAACATTTACGTATGATTGCCTATTTATAATCTTAAGTTATAATATTGATAAACATCTACATATGATATAACATAATAAATTAGTAACAATCGATGTCACGTTTACCTCAAAATGGAATTGGATCCTCTCCGAGGAACTGAACAATACGGGCCGTTGGATTAAAATCTAACAGTTATAATTATTATAATTTTTAAAAGGACCTTCCTGTTTATAGTCGTTGGATCAAAATCCAACGGCTATAATTATTATAATTTTTAGAAGAACCTCTCTATTTATAGTCATTGAATCAAAATTCTAATGGTTTGTGTTATTCGGTCAACAAAATCCCAAAGCTTTGTCTCGAAGAAGATCTAATTCCCCCAAAATTATCTACCACAAAAATCCTTGCAATGTGCTGTCAAATCGCACTTAACCACTCCCACATGCAAGATAGCAGGGATGTATAATTGTAGTCGTTCTCATGCTGTGTTACCATAACAGTTTTTTATTGTGCTTAAAACACGAATAGTACATATTCATTAGTATTATAATGGTGAGAAAATTGATTAAGTCTTTAATACAAATATTTATATTTATATAATAACACGTAATATATTATGCGTGTTACAATCATGTTGAAAATCTCTCCTCCACCGCCACCACTCCAACATGAATTGTGGCGGGCGAGGACAGCTACGTGCCCTGAAAGGGCTTGTTCGTTTACGTGAAACTCTAGGCACTCATGCTATGTTGCCATTTTTTTTTTTTATTGTGCTTAAAACACGGATGGTACACCTGATTCACTAGTATTATAATGGTGAGAAAATTCATCAAGCCTTTAAAACAAATATTTATATTTATATAATAACATGTAATATATTATGCGTGCTACAATCATGTTGAAAATCTTTTATGCGTGCTACAATCATGTTGAAAATCTTTCCTCCACAGCCACCACTCCAACATAGATTGTGGTGGGCGAGGATAGCTACGTGCAATGAAAGGGCTTGTTCGTTTAAGTGAAACTAGGCACTTAGGCACTGCATCTCTACCTGTATGGGCGTGACAATTCATATCATTGTTGGAGGAAAGGGATCCTCTCCGGATCACTTTCACCAAATTCACCCCATCAATCAATTCGGACCTTTGAATTTTGATCTAACGGTTAAAAATAGGGGGTTCCTTTAAAAATTATAATAACTTTAGCCGTTTGATCAAATTTCAAAGATCCGGATTGATTGATGGGGGTGAATTTGATGGAAAAGATTCGGAGAGAATCCCTTTCCATTGTTGGACACCCAAGGTTATAATCTATCACATTTTTATTATAATTTCAATATTTGCATGGAATTCATGCA